CAACGCCCGGCTATTTTTTGTTGCAGTTTGGCCGGGGCTGGGTTTGAACCCGCCACCCTCGGTATATGGGGCCGGCGCCTTACTCACTGAGCCACAGGCGCCTCCCTGTAATTTTTATTTCAACATAAGTACAATTTATAAATATAATACACTAAAAAAAATTATGTATAGGGCAGTGCCTGTGACTCAAAGGAGTAGGGCACAGGTCCACCTGGGTGACCTTGCCCAGGAGGGGAGTAGGGAGTTTACATTAGCCTTTTCATTTCCAAATGAAGTTACATTAACCTCTTCATTCCCAAATGGAGTTACATTAACCTTTTCAGCAGTGGAAAACCGTATATTCCCTTCCCCTTGTCCCACTCTTCCCTAGATTGTCGTGCATTCTTTCCAAAAATCAGGACATTTTTTAAAACGCCGCGGGACAAATTGTTAAGAATCGGGACTATCCCGCCAAAAGCGGGATATCTGGTCACCTTACACATGCCTGTAATCCCAGCTACTCAGAAGACAGAGGCAGAGGATTGCTTAAGCCCAGAAATCTGAGCTTGCAGTGAGCTATGATTGCACTACTGCACCCTAGCCAAGGTGACTGTGACATGGTTACACTATCTCAAAACGCAAAATAAGGATATTTTACCATAAAGACACTTGTACCCCAATGTTTATAGCAGTACAATTCACAACTGCAAAAATATGGAAATAACCCAAATGTTCATCACATCAATACATGAGTGAATTAATAAAATGTTGTATTCGTGTACCATCAAACAACTCAGCCATAAAAAAAAAAAAAAGATGATCTAATATCTTTTGTAACAAACCTGGATAGGCCTGGAGACTCTTCTTGGTATCAAAAAAATCTATTACAAGTACTCAATACTAAATTGGAACTATGTGAATCTTTCTAAATGTAGTATATAAATGTCTTAACACAATAACTAAGAAAATGCCATGAAGGCTAGGTTAACCAGTTTGGTGAAACTATTTCAAATTGTATATAAAACCAGCACACTGTACCCCATGACTGCATTAATGTACACAGCTATGATTTAATAAAAAAAAAAAAAATTGGAACTAGTCAATCAACACTTATGTGCACACAGGGAAGTAAAACTCAATAGGAATCAAGTAGATGGAAGTGACAAAGGCAGGTTGGATCAATCCACACCTAATAATACAGTATAATGCACACATTCTGGGTCAAGGGCACATGTGTAACTTTGATCAAAATGTACAAAACTGGCTCGGCGCCTGTGGCTCAAGCGGGTAAGGCACCAGCCACATACACCTAAGGTGGCGCGTTCGAATCCCCAGCCAGGGCCCACCAAACAACAATGATGGCTGCAACCAAAAAATGGCCAGGCGTTGTGGCGGGCGCCTGTAGTCCCAGCTACTTGGGAGGCAGAGGCAGGAGACTCGCTTGAGCCCAGGAGTTGGAGATTGCTCTGAGCTGTAAAGCCATGGCACTCTACCCAGGGGCATAGTTTGAGGCTCCGTCTCAAAAAAAAAAAAAAAAAATGTACAAAACTATGTAACCAAAATCTATATATCCCTGTAATATTCTGAAATAAAGAAACAGACAACTGGGAGGCACCTGTGGCTCAAGGAGTAGGGCACTGGTCCCACATACCAGAGGAGGCAGGTTCAAACCTGGCCCTGGCCAAAAACTACAAAAGAAAAAGAAAAAGACAACCCAAAAAATCACCCCAAACCTATCTTGTACATCAAAGTAAAAAGACAAAATATTGGAGAAAACATTTACAAATCACAGCTCTAATAAGGGTTTAGTTTCTAAAATACATTAAAAAATTCATGAAACTCAACAAAAAGCTCAGCTTAAAAATGGGCAGAGGATATGAACAGACATTTCTCCAACAATATACAAAATGAACATCAAAAGTGGCATTAGTATTGGGGACATGTAAATTAAAAACACAATGAGATACCAATTTAAACCCAATAGAAAGGTTAGCATCAAAAAAATAAAAAATATAGGCAGCACCTATGGGTCAGCGGGTAGGGCGCCAGCCCCATATACCAAGGGTGGTGGGTTCAAACCAGCCCCGGCAAAACTGCAACAAAAAATAGGCGGGCATTGTGGCAGGCGCCTGTGGTCCTAGCTACTCAAGGGGCTGAGGCAAGAGAATCGCCTAGGCCCAGGAGTTGGAGGTTGCTGTGGGCTGTGACACCACAGCACTCTACCGAGGGTGATAAAATGAGACACTGTCTCTAAAAAAAGAAAAAAAAAAGAAAAAATGAAATAAAAAATAAAGAGTTGGTGAGGATGCGGAGAAATCTAAACCCTAGAGAAGAAAATATAGTGCTGTAGCTATGGAAGAGTCTGAGGGCCTCTCAGAGAGTTAAACAGAACTACCACACCATCCAACAATTCCATTTCTAGGTATATACCCAAAAGAACTGCAAACAGGTGTTTCAAACAAATACTTGTATCTGAATGTTCACAGCAGCACTATTCACAGTAGTTAAAAGGCTAAAATGGGCCAGGCATGGTGGCTCACATCTGTAATCCCAGCACTCTGGGAGGCCGAATTCGGTAGAATGCTCGAGCTCAGGATTTGGAGACCTGCATGAGCAAAAGCAAGACCCCCATCTCTACTAAAAATAGAAAAAACTAGCCAGGCGTTGTGGCAGGAGTCTGTAGTCCTAGCTAATTGGGAGGCAGAGGCAAGAGATTCACTTGGGCCCAAGAGTTTAAGGTTGCTGTGAACCATGCTGAAGCCATGGCACCCTACCCAGGTCAAAGAGTGAGACTCTGTCTCAAAAAAAAAAAAAAAAAAAAAAGGCCAAAATAGCCCAATGTCCATCAGTAGATGAATGGGTAAACAAAATGTGACATATCGGGCACCACCTATGGCTCAGTGAGTAGGGTGCCAGCCCCATATACCTAGAGTGGCGGGTTCAAACCTAGCCCCGGCCAAACTGCAACAAAAAAATAGCTGGGTGTTGTGGTGGGCACCTGTAGTCCCAGCTCCTCAGGAAGCTGAGGCAAGAGAATCGCCTAAGCCCAAGAGTTTGAGGTCGCTGTGAGGTTGCACAGTAGAGTACTGACACCACAGAACTCTACTGTGGGCAACAAAGTAAGACTCTGTGTCTTAAAAAAAAAAGTGGCATATCCATGCAATGGAATGTGATTCACCCATAAAAAAAGAATGAAGTACCAATACACATTACAATACAGATGAACCACAAAAAACATAATGCTAAGTAAAAATGTCCAGACATGAGAGGTCACATAACCCAGGATTCCATTCACATGACACATCCAAAATAGATAAATCCATAACAAACATAAGTAGTAGCAGGGACTGGGGAGAGGGAGAATTAGGGCTCCTCTGTGAGAGATTAAAATACTTTGGAATTAGATAAAGGTAGTAATTATACAATTTTTGTGAATGTACTAAGTGCCGCTGAATTGTATACTTCAAAATGGTTAATTTTGTTATGTGACTTTCATGTCAATGAAAAAATTTTTAATGTACATAGAGAAACTCAGAATTATAATAATATTCAAAAATATTCATAGCTGAGCATTGTGGCAGGCACCTGTAGTGCCAACCACTAGGGAGGCTGAGGCAAGAGTATCCCCCTTGAGCCCAGGAGTTTGAAGTTGCTGTGAGCTATGACATCACAGCATTCTATTGAGGGTGACATATGAGACTCTGTCTCCAAAGAAAAAAAAAGAAGAAAACGAAAGGTGGAAAAAAATTATATCTCAAGTCTGATTTTAAACTTAATTAGGATTTGTATAAAAAGCCTGAAATTGTTTAAAACTATGAACAGAAAAAAATAATAAAGTTGTGTACCATGCTCAGCAATGACTATCACTGGGTGGCGGTGAGCTTTAGTTTCTTCTTTTATACTATATCAAATCATCTAAGCTTTCTACAAAAAAAAGAAAAGCTTTAACAGTCATAGAACAAATGTAATGAAAGAAAAGATTTCCTAAACATCAGTTATTTTCATCCATTCCTCTTACCCTGAATTCCACGAATACTTTACAGAACAAGAGAACATCACACTTCTTACCCAATAGGGGAGTTGCTGGTCTGCCATGAAAGCTTTGGGACTAGGTTCAGTTTTGCCATTGCTAGTCCATATTTTTTTCCATGTAGTATATTTGTCATATCCATCCTTATGGCTGAAAAAACAAAATATATATATTGATACATATCAATCAAGCTTTAAGTAATCATGTCTTCAAAATAGAAGGCAGGTTAGTAAATTTTTTTTTCTTGTTTTTTTTTTTTTATTGAATGGTAACTATGTACATTAATGCACTTCTGGGGTACAGTGTGGGGTTTTCACACACAATCTGAAACATTTCCATCAAACTGGTTAACATAGCTTTCATGTCATTTTCTTAGTTATTATTTTAAAACGTTCACA